TTTTATCATTTTGCATCACAGGTTGTTGACGACTCTTCCTCCAATCCTAATGCCACATTCTTCTTCATGGAGTCCAGTTTCTAGAACTAGTTGCTCAGCGTACTGATTAAGTACTGAGAAAGAGTAGAATCCTGATACATGCCATTCGGGCCATGCTGAATTTCCTTGTTTTGGTCAAATATCTATTTTTTTTAATTTGTAATTTTTTAATTGAGATTTTATGAAAGTTTACAGAGAACTTGGATTTTCATTCGTACATTGTTGCACATTTTCCACCCTGTCCTACCCCCCAGTTCACTTTTCTCTTTGGGAAAAAAAATCTTTCATTGTAATACAGTTCCCTTGCTGCCCCCCACTCCCCTAAACCACTTTACTATGCAGCTCTTATTCTGGACTCTTGTCATGCCAATAATACCAAATCATAGATTCCTTTTATACAGTTATTTCCCTCATCTCTTTCAATGCTGTGTACATTATTTATCCCCTCTTTTCTTAGTTTTCCCCTAACGCTTATGCAGAATTTGTCTTTTTGTGACTGAGATATTTCACTCAGAATAATGTCCTCCAGGGTCACCCATTTTCTATTTCATTAGTTCTTTGTTTTTCAATGCTGCATAGTATTCCATTGTGTTAATATACCACAGCTTCTCCATCCATTCGTTTATTGATGGGTAATTGGGTTGTTTCCAACACTCTGCTATTGCGAACAAAGGAGCAATAAGCATGGGGTGTGCATATATCTGGTTGGGTGGCAGTTCTGGTTTCTTTAGGGTATATTCCCAGTAGTGGAATTGCTGGGTCAAGTGGTATTTCTATTTCCAACATTTTAAAAATTTTTTATTAATTTTAATGAACATTTACAGAGATTTTGGATTTTCATTCATACATTGTTGCTATTTCCAACTTTTTAAGAAAGTGCCACACTGCCTTCCATAGTGGCTGCTAAAACCAAGGACTACAAACTTTATTAGAGAAAAGCTTGGAAGAACCCTAGAAGTACTAATCCACAACATGAACAGTCTTCCAAGCATTCTGAAAACCTTAAAACCAGAAGAAGATAAAATATATGAATGGGACCTTCTAAGAATCCAATTCCTATACACATCCAAAAACTTCTCCAGCAGGGTAAGGGAAGCCACAGACTGGGGGGAAAAAAGTATGTGGTAATGACATGTCTGATAGGGGATTTATATCTAGAATTTACAGAATACTAGAGTGCCATAACAAGATAAAAGTAAACAACCCAATTGAAAAATAAGCACAGGATATGAACAGACACTTCACCAAAGAAGACATTCAGATGGCCAACAAGCACATGAAGAAATGTTCAAAATCCCTAGCTCTAAGAGAGATGCAAATCAAAACAACTGTATCATCTCACCCAGTAAGAAAAGCAAAATTCAACCCAGCAGCAAACAACAAATGCTGGCGAGGTTGTGGAGAAATGCGAACCCTTATTCACTGTTGGTGGGAGTGTAAAATGGTGCAAATATCTATTTTTTTTTAATCCATGTACAGGTTCCATAAGAGCACAATTAGGTGTTCTAAAAGTTCTTCTCAAGATGCTCCCTAATATATTCTGATCCACACAGTCTTTGCATAGTCAGTAAAAATGCAAGTCAATGTCTTTGTTTTTGTTGATTTTAACCAGTATCCTTATGACATCAGCAATTACTGGTATTCCTTGTGCCATGATCTCTTCCAAATCCAACTTGAGTTTCTTTTTGTTCTCTGTCAATATACTGCCCCAGTCATTTTTAGATGCTCTTCAGAAAGAGTTTATTAAGGAGATATTAATGATACTGTTTGAAAATATCCACCATTCTCTTAGATCATTATTTTTGGGGGATGGACAAAATACAGAGCTCCTCTAGTAGGTCAGTTAGGTAACTAACTCCATACAACCACTAACTCTAATGATATTCTAACCCTAGCCCTAAATCTTTGTTGTTGTGTATCCTCAAGTTAGAACTGAGCCATAGCTGACCCTCAAGTGGGTTTTCATAGGCAGTAAATCACATCTAAGGAGATTACCCATCTTTCTCCCCCCACAGGGTAGCTGGTGAATTTAAACCACATACCTTGTGTTGGCAGCAAATTCCTTACCACCAAGCCACCAGGAGCTCTGCTGACCTACTGTTTACAATCTAGGCTACCATCTCAAAGAAAGAGATTCAAGTCTACGAGCTGCTCAGCAAAAAAGGATAGGCAGTCTCAATGTATGTGATTTACTAACTCTGAAAATATGCTGGAGGGTGAGCTAGCGGTCAGTTTTAACTGGAAGGCACACAACAACAGTTCTAAACTCTAACCTAAATTGAATCTTAAAATTACTAACTCCAATTGTAACAGCAACCCTAACACTAATCAAGCCTTAAACCTAGCCCTACTCCATTAACTCGAAATCTAAACCTAACTCTCACCATTAATCCTTAAACCTAACACTAGAACAAGCCGTAAATCTAACTCTAGCTTACTCCCTAATCTTAACAATAACCTTAACACCAGACCAAGACGTAGACCTACCACTACAACAATTTCTAACTCTAAGCCTAACTCTTAACACTAGGGAACCTATTATAACACCATTCAAACTCTCACTCTAAGGCTTGCCCTAACCTAAACCTCCTTAACCCTAATCCAAGCTCTATCCCTAGCATAATCCTTATTAATAACTTTAAAATTAATTCTAATCCTAACACATAGATCATGCTCTAGGCCTAGTCATAGCCCAACCTCTAACCCGAATTTAAATCCTAGCCCAACCTCTGAGCCTTAACCCTAATTTTAACCTTCATACCAGACCAAGTACTAGGCCTTAACCTTTATTCAAATCTTATCCTGAACTCTAAAAGTAGACCAATACCTAATTCTAGCTCTAGTTCAACCCCTGACCTTAATCTTAAACTAACGGTAACACTAGACTAGCTCTAGGCTAAAATCTAATTCTAAGCTCAACTCTTATTATAACCCTAACCTTAACAGTAGACCAAGTCTTTTCCCTATCCCAGCCTCTGTTAACTCTAAAGCTACATCTAATACTAACCACACCACACTTTAATGTAATGATAACCTAAATGCTAATTTTAACCCTAAAACTAGACCAAGCCCTAGTTCCAAATCCTAACCTACATGTTAACTTTAAACTTAATCCTAATACTAACGAAACCCATAAATATACATATGAAAACATAGAAATATACAAGAAAAATAATATTGTTGTTGTTGTTGTGTTGTTGATTGCCGTTGAGCATGACTCACAGGGCCTGAAGCCCCTTTTCAACTATCGACATTTATCAAAGTTCATAGAGTTTCTGGAGGCATGTTGTTGAGGAAGTGAAATTCCTAAAATGGCACTTAACAACAACATATAATTTCAAAGCCCTTGTCTCCATCTGGAGTTGGATGAAGCAGCTGGAGCTTGCAAGATGGTGCTTTTGTTTTGGTTGAAGATCTGTATGGATTGTTTGGTTGTTTTTACTTAAGCCTCTTGTTCAGAATCAACAAGACTTCCTGGGGGCAGGGAGAGGCTTATATTTAAAAGTTGGGCCTGAGGGATTATATTTTAATCCCTTGTTACTGTATTTTAGAGGAACATTCTTCTAAGTCACACAGGACTCTGGTCAATTTGGTGAGATGAGGTAATCTGGGTTTGCTGTGACACTGAATCTTGCGCTATTTGGGTCTCAAATGCCATAATAGAACAACTGTTCCATCGTTGTGCCAAACACCATAATGGCTACCCACCATGGGCAGTGTTTGGTGGAGCTCCAAGATTGATTCAAGATTGTTTCAAGTTTGGAAGCAGAAGTGGCATCCACTTCCTAAACCACATGCCTCTGGAAACTCTATGAACTTGGAGAAATGATGATAGTTATAGAAAGGCTTTGGGACTTTTGCTCATATATGTATATATGGAGGGCCCTTGTATTTAAAAGTTGGTTGGTTTCAAGAGTCTTTCTTTTGGAGGAACATTCTTCTAAGTTGTACAGCACTCCTCCGTCAATTTGCTGCACTGGGGTAATCTGGGTTTGCTGTGATTCTGAGCCTTGTGCCATGGGGGTCAAATGCCATAATGGCTGCCCATTGTGGAGTGTTTGGTGGAGCTCCCAGTTTAAGACAGGTTTGGAAGTAGGAGTGGCATCCCACTTCCAAAACTACCTGTCTCTGGAAACTCTATGAACTTGGAGAAACGACCATAATTACAGAAGAGCTTCAAGCGTTTTGTTCATGGGGTCGCTATGGGTTGCGCTCAAATTGACAGCAATAAACAACAACAACAACAACAACAACCTTGAATCATTCTCATAATCAAGGACACAGTCATGATAAAAAACTTGATCAAGTTCATGCTATAGGACATCATTACACTCTGTTGTTCATAGGTTTGCTATGAGGTGGCACCCAACAACAACATTAGTTCTAACCCCAACACTAGATGAAACCATAGTTGCAGTCTTGACCCAAGCCCTAACTCTGAGCCTAACCCTAACTGTACTTCTAATCCTAATACTAGACCTAGGCCCAGCCCACCCCTCAGTCTAGCTCGAAACTTAACCACTAACTCTAATATAAATCCCATTCCTACCCCAAACAACCTCAACCCCTATCCCTAGACCAAGCCCTAGGGCTAGCCTTAAATTAAAGCTATTTAATTTGATCATGGTAGTATCATCTGAGCAGTTTGAAATCCTGAAATAAACCTGTTTAATACATCATAAACCATATGTGTATTCTGTTGGCCTAGTGGATAAATCGTTGCACTGCCAAGCCAAAGACCTAGACAAGGGTTTGAATTCACTGGCTGTTCCATGGGAAAAAGATGGTATATCTCCTTTCCCATACAATTTACAGCCTCTGAAAACTCACTGAAGGACCAGCTAGGAGTTAGTACTGACTTTATGGCACGTAACAACAACTATATTTGTAAACATTTCGGTCAAAGTTAGTTTTCTTTTTCAGTTAGCATTGAAGTTAAAAGTCAAAAGTTACTAATGCAATGAGATTTTGAATCTTTTAATGAAAGATAAAACAACAATACAAACATACACAAAATTACAGAGAAGGATTCAACTTTAATACATTTGGAGTAAAAGGTGTTTCTTATTTAAATATGGTATAAAAATAAATGCAAGAAACATTAACTGAGAATGTACAGAACAACAGAAAAAAGACTTGATCTTGTTTCTGACTCAATACACTAGTGAAATGGAACTTCAGGGCTAATTCATTGATCAATAATGTGAAGCCATATGTATATTTATGAATATGCTTTTTTAAAAAGAATTCATCCAGTTTGTGACTGACTGAATTTTTAGTAAACTGTGCATCTAGCAGAAGCTTTGAGAAAAAGAGAAGCAAAAAAAAAGTTTTTACTTCACTTGAATTTGTTAAAAAGAAAGAGACACAGATCCAGCTTAGTACAAGAAAGAAGTAAGCAGACATTTTTGAATGGAGGCATTGAGATGTTCAAGTGTCCCTTGGAGATGACAATGCCTTAAAGTGCACACACACAAAAAAGAACAAGTCTGGTCCTCTGCTCATGCAACACCTTGGTCTAATGTCCTCTGCTTCTGGTAACAGTGAGCTACAAAACATGTGAGACAAGTCCAGTTTGCTTCCACACTAGTGGATTATCCTTTCAGTAAGACTGAACAAGGCTTGTTAACCTCTTTGATGTCAGAGATTTCCCCTGAAGAAAAACAAAACACAAGGAAAACAAATGAGAACCATAAAATAGAGAATTAATGCTGAAAAACTGCTTACTAGTAACATGTATTTATCACAGTTGAAATTTTTGCCAAGGTTAATACTGAACCCCTCAGGTACATCCAGGGTCAGACTTTACGACCAACTCTCTCCTCCCTCCCTCCACCAACACATCAAACAAAATGACCCTCTGTCCCTTTTTCCATCCTCTCACCCTCACCTCCCCACTGCAAACAGACCAATGGTTTCACAGCACAGATTAGCAAATCATAAAACATGTCCATAAACATCCCATCAAGGCTTAGCAATGATGCAACACCTAGGTTCACAATTGGTTATAAAAATGAGTAATGGCAGATCTTCCTAAGCTGCTGTGAAAGGGAACAGTGAGGATGTATTCCTGTTCAACAGCTGAAATTAGTGGTGCATTTATAAACATTTCTAGAGAGAGTATGAGTTAATGAAATAAAACACATTTTTGAGAGTGTGCTTGGTGGAAATTCAAGATCATTCTCTGTTCTGTGTGAAGTGATGGAGAAAAGGGTTCCAAGTATAATTCTAAGTCCAAAAATCCTTTTGGTCCCTTTTTAAAACTGTGGAAACTTTCTTGCAATTTTCCAATTGGCTTTCTCCAACATTAACCTCAGAAAAATCCCCTAGACTCATACCCCACATATTGTGTTCATATCTAGAATCAACATATGTTTACTTGTCAGTGAATTCTCAAAATGAACACTGTTGATGTTAATCACAAGTATTCTAGAGAGAAGATATTTTAAAATTTTTGGTCAAAATAGCAGATTGTTAATTGGTTTCTATTTACCTCTTAGAGCGAAGTCTCCTAACAAATAGATGGTCCACTAACTGCATCACATTTTATGTCTAAGATGATAGCACAGTAAGGGAAGATCAAAAGTTTTGTTGAGAGATATGATGATTTTGTAATATCTTGCAGCCCATAGATATAGACTTGATTTGATACTTAATGTGGCTCACAATTTGGTAAAGGGATATTGATTGGGCCATCAGGAGAGAAATCATCATATGCATCACATTATGGGGGAAGAACACTATGCTTGAGAAATGATTAATAATACTAAGATTTCCTTACACATTGTATAATAACTGAGAAGGGCGCTTTTGTTGATTGAAGTTTGGTAACAAACATCAAATGCCATTTTAAGTGGAGAAAACTATTTACAACTTAGCTGCTACCAAATAATAGTAAAAGAGGATGATGTTTAAGTACTTCAAACTGAGCTATCATTTAGTTTTATGGGAGAAGAAAAATAACACAAGAAAAAGTTTGTTATATAAGGGATTCTACTTCACAATCTACCTTATACATAAAATATGAATTCCTTGTTATCGCTTCTCTGCCTCATTTTGCATATCCATAAAATGAGAGTACGAGAAGGACTTAGTTTTAAAGCTTGTTTTGAAGACTTATATATGTAAATTGCTTAAAACTATTCTTAAAACACTCAAGATATACAGTTTATGATGGTTATTAATAGCTTTCTCCTCACAAGGAGACTCAAAGACATTACCTGATCCTGAGAATTGATTGCTAATTAATTAAAATATAATTATTGCACTTTTCACACCACTTTACAGTAAAGGTTAATGAAATAATATTGGAATTTAAAAAAATCAACTTTTTCCAGACTTGAAGATAATCTGTTTCCTATATTTATTACTATACAGTCTTGTGTGCTTCACAGAAATGTATACATGTGAGCTAGCTCTGATGAGGTGATGGGTGAGTGCAGGACTGCTAACACTGTGGCAGTCTTTGTGCCAATCTATCTGGCAAAGGGCTTCCTCTCCTTCCCCGACCCTCTTCCTTTCCAAGGATCATGTTCCTCTCCAATGAACAGCCCCACCTAGCAAAATGCCCACAGTATGTGAGGCAAATCTTTATCATCTTTGTCTCCAAAGAACACTCTGGTTGCACTTTCTCCAGGACCTATTTGCTTGTTCTTTGGGCAGTCTATCGATGCACAGTGCTTTTCCTCAATACCACAGCTCAAAGGCATCATTCCCCCATAGCCAGCAGTTGTTGCTATTAAGGTGTGATGGAGCTGACTTACTCACAGCAACTTTAAGTACAACAGAATGAAGTCCTGTCCAATCCTGCACCTTTCCTGCTCATGTTTACACCCATCCTGTTGAGTGTCTTCCTTTCCTTTGCTGACACTCTATTTTTCCAAGCATGGTATCCCTTTCCACTGGCCCTTTCTGGTAATATACCCAAAGCATGTGAGACAAAGCCTCACCATCACTGCTTCTAAGGAGCACTCTGACTGCACTCTTTCCATGGCAGATTTTGTTGTTGTTGTTGGCATTGCAAGCAAGGGACCGTATTTCCCAAACCTGGGTACAGTTTTAAAACACTGGGTGCAGAGAGTGACCACCAGCATACAATCTTAGTAGTTGTATAGTTGTTATTGTCATATTTAGGTGCCATTGGATGGAGTATGACTCATAGTGACCTATGAATAGGGGATCTGTACCCCGTCCTATCCTGTGCTATCTTCACAAATCCTGACACTAAGAGCCCATTGTGGCAGTAAGAAGAGGAATGTCATGCTAATTTCCACATTTAGTAAAAATGAAATTTCAATTTACTTGTTCAGGGAAGAGGAAAAATGAAAACCTCTGATAATAACTTCAAACAAATAAACCATGCAAATTTTCCACAAAATGATTATAATTCTTCATGGAACAAAAAGGAATGGGACCTGTCATTGATTTGTAAGATAGCTGGTTTTGGAAATCAAGAATTTAAAGTATGGTTTCAATACGTTATTTCACCCTACACTGTTCTTGCAGGATGTTCTGATAGTCTAGTGGGTAAGGAATTGTGCTGCCAATCCCAAGTCAGGAAGTTCAAATCCATGACGTACTCTGGGAGAAAGATGGGCAAGCTCCTCCTATGTAATTATAGGCTCTGGAAACCAACCAGAGGGTCATTTATGAGTCACTTCCACTTTGATTGTGATGTGGTTTGTTGGTTTCTTTTAGTATGTTCTTTCAGAGAACTGGTGGTAAAGTGGTTAAGCACTTGGTTGCTATTCAAATGGTCAGCTGTTCAGAACCTCCTGCTGCTCTGAGGGAGAAAGATGCAGCAGAGAAGACTGACAGTCTGGGAACCTTGGAAGTTCCACTCTGTTCTATGGCAGCACCTGACGAAGAATCAACTCAGTGGCAACAAATAGATTTATGGTAGTGTCCTTGGGGTAGGAGTCTGGTAAAGAGAAGAGAAACCGAAAAAGAGACACACTTTCTCTTATAAATTTGGATTCCACTTAACCAAGTATCCCATTATTTTATGAATACATCATGACAAAATAATCATGATGGTCTTCAAAGGCCATCACACATTAAGCAATAGTAGCAATAGATAGATAATTAGGAAGAAATGGCCTAAATGTCTAGAAATAGAGGATTAGAGAAATACATCATGACTATACTCTTTCAAAGCAATTTAAAAAAATGAAATGGCCTGCAAGATATTTAAAATTTATTTTAAGTAGGAGAAAGAATGTTTCAGAAATACACTTAAACCATAATCATGTACATACATATATATCTTCCCAAAGGATTTTTAGAAATCTTTACAGGAAGAGACTACTCATCTTTCTCCCAAGTAGTGGCCACATTTTTTAGTTAGCAGCCAGTGGGCATACAAATTCAACTTTGGAAAGATACTGAGACCTCTCTGAAAACAATAGAATGAACCACTGAAAATGAGATTTCTGGAGACAACAAGCCAAAGTTATATGTTACACAAAGGTGAGTTATTCTTACCCCACCAGTAATGGGCATAATAGAAATAGTAGAAATAATGCAGAAAGAACAATGGATTAAAGGGGAGAACATTTTGCTTCCACCCAACTCTACCACTCTATAACTGAGGGATGTTGGTAAAGTGACCTCATCTCACTCCTTCCCACTTTGCTCATCTATGAAAGGGAGCTAACATTTGCCCAATTACCTTCCATGACTGCTGTTTGTGCAAACAAGAACATAAAAAGAAATGGGCATTCTTTGAGTACTCTAAAATACAAGTATGAGCTGTACATTATAATTCTTCACGAACATGCCAGCACATACTTGAGCTCTAGTAACCAACAGAAGCTCCAGTGGTGTTGGAAACAGTTGACTAGCAGATCATTCTTGACTCTAGGGTGAAATTAGAACAGCAACACCATTTTCCATTAGGTAGGTTAAAAAAACAGGGTGCAGAAACATGTAAATGAACTTCCTTAAAACGGCACAAACTGAAACTGTATTCACGCTGCAGAGGAGAAGATCACACTGTAGTGGACTTTGTTTCTCTTCTACTAGTTGGAAAAATATCAGGGAAGCAGAGTTAATCCATGGAAAAAGAAGGAATTTGGGAACAAAAAGGATTCCACATGAGTCCCAGTTCCTTCATTACCTGTCCCTCTCACTTAATTATGTACTTCATCTGATCCTATACTTTATCCTAAATTGTAAGCTAAATAATTGCTATTATAAGTATTTTACAGGTTCAGCATATGGGCTAAAGTTAATTAATTTGACATTAATATCAAGTTCCTAGTGTAGAGCCTGGTACTTAGCCAATACTAAACAGATGTGATTAATTATTATTAGTCTTATCTATATATTGTTTACACAAATCTTATTTCATTTTTGTTGAATACCTTCTGTCTTGCATACTTTTTCTATCTAGTACAGTAATTTGCATATAGAATATGTTTAAAATGTTTATTGAATTATCTTCTATTCTCCATTTTGTTTATATGATAACAATAACAACAATGATATCATTCATTCTGTAGCTTAAGTGAAAGTAGTATTACTGTTTTTGCAAAGATGTCCTCAAAACTTTAAGACCTCAGGAAGTCTGACATGACTAAAAAAGTAATGAGAAAGAAATAGCATGAACAAATACTGAACCAAGGGGAAATTATAACAAAATGAGGAAAGTAAGTTTAAGGGACCTAATGCGATGTTATTATCCCATGATGTACATATATATACATGTATGTGTATAGGAATATTAGTTAGCCTCTTATTCAGAAATTGCAGAACATTTTTCTATCGGTTGGCTTTCTTGGATAAGTGAAATCTTACTTATCCTATTAATGTCTTTAGGAAATCTTCTTGCCCTACCTCAAGAAGAAATAAAGTACCTTCTACATATTCCTAAGATATAACACAATGTTTGGAACACAGTTGGTACTGGATGAAAAAAAATGATAGGACTGGATGATCAAACTTCCCATATATTCTTCATTAATTTCTGCTTGATTCTTTTTAAAGTGTGTGACAGACATGTTAGAGTTGGGGAAACAGGCCAGGTTTGAGGATGATGTTGGGGGAAAGATAATCTTGCTCAAGTTGCATTATTATTACTTTTAATTACACTACAGAAATCTATTCTAACTCAAAGCCTTTTATTTTTCCTATAAAGCTGTCAGCATTAGGCCATAAAAAGAATGAATTTGAAACAATTGTCAAACAATACCCAGAGCATTGTGCAATATGCCAGGACCATTTACCATCAAAATATTGTCTCTGTCTCCCTGGGGTGACTTCTGGGAGCACGTTTAAGAACGTTCCAGAGTGTAAATAACCCCTGGAGTCCCTCATTCTCCATCTCTTTCATTTGTGTAATCACACTGAGTGTTTAAAGTGTTTAATGTGAAAAAGTTGTAACTTTTTCATGTTTTAAAAATACTGTGTGCACTTGGTCACAGCTACTAATTGGTAAATAGAAACAATTAACATTTACCTACCCCCAAGGATCCTTGAAGGAAAATGAAAACAAGAACCAAGTCTTTGTGAATCTAGTTTGCTTTCATTTCAACACACATAAAATCCACTTGACTAGTCATCACAGCAAAAGCCACAACACACATACACAGCAGCATGGGATTAACCACATGACTCAACAGACAGAACAGACAAACTTGAGTAGAAACCAAGATTTCTCTACCTCTTTTCATAACAGGTTAGTGCTGGCCCTCAGTGTTGGTGTACAGTTTTTATGGCATGGGAAAATAGGGATGTTTCTGCCCTATAAAAATAAATGTGTTGAAGGCTTTAGTTTATGCTTACACAATGTTAGGAAGTTCCAAAGGTACTGGCACAATACAAAAAGAAAAAGAATCCCACAAACAAATATCACCAGAACACACGGCAAGAGAAAACACTGATAGGGAAATCTACTGGTTTCAAACATGATTTTTACAACAGTTTTCAACGACTTCCTGAAAGAGAAAGAACATGAGAGGCATGCTAGTGAGTCTCTGGGGGGACATATATTGCCTCTGACCACCATTCATGTTAAGCCTTTTGGCTTTAAACTGCTCAATATTTCTTTTCTCCCCAGAGAGGCAGAAAGCATGAAACCTTCATTCCTCTTAATTTTTGAGCCAACAGAAAAGCTAAAAGGGATACTGTGACATGCATGCACCATCTACATGAAAGAAAGGGATTATGGAGACGTCTATAGAAGGAATCATTGCTATTCCTTTATATTATATGTTGTAAATGTACACTTCTTTTCTACACATGTAGAATTTCATGTATGACATTTTCATCTCCTCTAGAAAGGGATAGAACAGATAGATAATACAGTCAGAAGCAGGGAGTTCTAAATTCTGGTAAAGGCACTACCTTTGCTGTTACATCAACCTCAAAGGATGCTGGGGTGGGGGGTAAGGGGCCAGGGATCAAGATGATTTTGCTGCAATTCATAATTTACAATTCCTCAAATAAGAAGACTTACCACATTCTGTGCAAATTTCTCAAAAGATGTTCTGCGATCCATTGAAGGTCCAGACTTAAATGTATGGGGTGGGTGGGTTTAGGGAGAAGGAAAATAAGGAGACAATAAAAAAACAAAACAAAACCAAAGAGCAAGAACAGAATAGAAAATGACAGAATGATGAAAATGATGTAAGACTCAGTTCATGTTTTAAACCCCAAGACACAGGGAGTTTGGACAGCTACTGAGGAAGGCCCCATGACACAGGATATGAGTTCTTTTAATTGTGCCTTATTGTTGGCATAAAAAACTTCTCTTGTGAAAAAATATCTGTGATTTCACACAGAACAAATTTAGACAAAATGACAAAAGCATATGGAGGTTTTCTACTGAAATTTGCAAAGTTTAACCACTGGAATCTGTAGTGGCATCTCTTCAGAATGTGTCCCTGATTTTCTGCTATCAGATGCTGTTGGGTCAGTTCTAATCCACAGTGACCTTATGTAACAGAATGAAACACTGCGAGGTCCTATACTGTCCTCACAATTGGGGTTGTGTCTGAGCCCATTTGGCAGTCACTGTGTTAACCCATCTTGTTAAGGGTCCTCTCTTTCACTGGTCCTATACTTTATCAATGTCCTCCTTCAGAGATAGATCTCTCACGATAACATGTCCTAAGTGAGTGAGACAAAAATCTCACCATCCTTGCTTCTAAGGAGCACTCTGACTACACTTCGTCTAAGACTGATGTGTTTGTTATCTCAGCAGTCCTTGGGCTATTCAGTATTCTGCAACATGACGGTTCAGAGGCATCAGTTCTTCTCACTTCTTCCTTATTCTCTGCCCAGTTTTCATATGCATATGAGGCACCTAGACACACTATGGCTTGGTCAGACACATGATAATCCTCAATGTGACAATTCTATTAGAGACAAATTTCTGTTGAAAACGTACTGTCGTTCCTCATCTCTTTACAGTAAATCTTGTTTAAAGGGTGGCAGTGATGCTCTATGTCTTCAATGCAGAAGCTTCTTCTGACAACAGCTACTGAATCTTTGAATTCTGAATTTTAGAAATCTTAATTAATTAAAGTCAAATTTACAAATCCACATGTAGCTATTGACCACTGTAATGGGCTATTTTGGGTTATCTACTTGTAGTTGCAAAGGAAATGAATTTTGAAATATCTCATTCAACCTAAATGAATAAAAAAAAATTATAATCTTATATGTGATTTTTAAGAATCTTGTTATGCATCAGAGAGCTGGACAATGACCAGGGATGATAGAAGGAGAATTGAGGCCTTTGAGCTGTGGTGCTGGAGAAGAGTATTGAGAATACCATGGACTGCCAGGAAAACAAACAGATTTGTCCTGGAAAGGGTTAAACCGGGTGGCTCCTTGGAGGCAAGGATTCTGAGGCTCCGTCTAACATACTTTGGACATGTTGTGAGGAGAAACCGGTCCCCGGAGAGGGACATCATGCTTGGGAGGGTGGAGGGACAGCGCAGGAGAGGAAGGCCCTCTATGAGGTGGATTGATTCAGTGACTGGGATAATCGGGATGGGAGTGTCAGAGACAGTGCAATTGGCACAGGACAGAGCGGAGTTTAGGGCTGTTGTACATAGGGTTGCTATGAGTCGCAGGCGACTCGATGGCACATAACAACGACAACAACAACAACAAGTGAATCCAATATTGAATTGAATGGTCAAGAGCCCTGGTGGCAGGGTACATAAAATGCTGTGCTACAACCCAAAAAGTCAGAGAATTTAATCAGCCAATCCTTTTCCAGGAGAAAGATGACACATCTCCTCCTGAATTTACAGCCTCAGAAATCCCATCGCTGGTTGCTATGAGCTGAACTAAATCAATGAACTTAGTTTGGGTTTTACTGACAATTTTAATATTTGAAAGCTAACAATTAGAGGTGTTATTCGTCAATCCAAATTGTTTACACAATGTTGTGCTCTTGCAAAACACATGAACAGTGAATATGACTGCAAATATTAACTGAATGCTGAGTGCTCATGAAATTCTGCCCAAAATGTACTTTCTATGATCTTAGCAGTATAATATTTGTTATTGTTGTTGTTGTGTACCATTGAGTAAGAATAAATCCACAGCTGACCCTCCAGCGGGTTTTCAAAGGCAGTTTAATTGCAGGGGAGATTGCCCATCCTTCTCCCATGGAGCACCTGGTGAACTTGAACTGTGTGCCTTGGGGGACTGGAGTATCGCTCCTTAAGCCACCAGAGGTCATAGTAAGGTTTAATAAATGATTCAGGACAAACATCAAATGAAAATATTCAAGGGCAAACTTACTAGATTTTGGCTACTAATTCTGAAAGAGTAGGTCTATTGCTTTGTAATGGGGTTTTTAACTCAAACATACATTCTAGCTAACTACTAAACAAAGAAAGCTTTCAAAGTTTGACCTACTGGCATTATCCTGCTCTTTTCTTTAATGCAATTTTTTTAGTTACTTCATGAAAAAAAGGCACATAGAAGACTAACATGAAACATGAAAACAGCTTCAAATAAACTAGGAATGCATGAGCATTTGGAGAGGAAAAAAGAAATAAAAAAACCAGCAAACACATAAAACAAGTTAATGGCCCTTATAAAATGCAAAGATTTGGGGGAGGGTTTTAGAATATATTAACTTACCATTTTTCCAATACCTCCGGTCCAGCAAAGGTCAACTACTCCGGATCACTATCACTGAAAATTAGGTCAAAAAAGGGCAGAAAAAAGTAATACCTTTTTCTTTGCCTGTAAAAGCTCCTGATAGGCACTGGATCTTATAAAACGTGGGTATGAGTCACTTTTCATCAGTTTGTAAATGTGCTCCTGTAAAGAAATAATGGTTGAAGTTCTGATGCTTCAGTGAACACTGGGATTCAAACAATCACTCATTGTGTTTTATAGAATTAATCATCACTCCAGAACACTTGATTATGATTATGCAAAACTTATACCTGAACCAGGAGGTAGAAGCCAGAACAGAGCAAGGAAACATTGCATGGTTCAAAATTGGGAAGGATGTGTATCAAGGATGTGTCCTGTCTCTGTATCTTTTCAATCTATATGCAGAACAGATTCTTCAGGAGGCTAGGCTCTATGAGAAGTGTGGAATCAGGATTCAAGGTAGACTTATCAACAATCTGTGTTATGCAGATGATACAACTCTGTTTGCTGAAAATGAGGAGGGCCTGAAGTGCTTGCTGCAGAAGGTCAAGGATTGCAGCCTTCAATATGGATTGAAGCTCAGTGTTAAGAAAACAAAGATTCTCACCACTGGGCCAATTGGAAACATCATGGTAAGAGATTGAGATTGTTGATAGCTTTAGTTTGCTTGGTTCTATGATCAACACTCTTAGTACCAGTAGCCAGGAAATTAAAAGATGAATTGTATTGAGAAAGTCTGCTGTCAGAGAACTCTCCAAGGTACTGAGGAGCAACGATGTCAGTCTGGATCCTCAGGTGACCCTAATAAAAGCCATGGTCTTTGCAATTACTTGCTATGCTTCAGAGAGCTGAACAATGACTAGAGATGATAGGAGGAGAGCTGATGCCTTTGAGCTGTGGTGATGGAGAAGAGTACTGTATATACCATAGACTGCTAGGAAAACAAACAAGTTCACCCTTGAGAGGGTTAAACCAGGCTGCTCCTTGGAGGCAAGGCTCCTGAAGCTTCGTCTGACATACATTGGACTTGTTTTAAGGAGGGACCAGTCCTTGGAGAGGGACATTATACTTGGGAAAGGCGGAGGGATGGAGCAGGATGAGATGGTTTGATTCTGTAACTGGGGAAATGGGGATAAGTGTGTGGGAGACAGTGAGATTGGAAAGGGATAGAGCAGCTTTAGGGCTGTTATACATAGGGTTGATATGAGTTGCAAGTGACTAAATGGCACATAACAACAACATCTATGCTTCCTGCTACCCTACCTTTTCAGGTCCCCATTAAATCTTTTCTAATTACTTCACCACTACCCACAATAAACTCTGTTATCTTAGTGACTGTCTCCCTTCCTGAACCCTGTTCCCATTCCTCTTCCTGGCTCCCTCTCCCTAATATGTAATACACATGAATGATACACAGTGTATACAAATTCTGTATGTAGAACAATATAAATTTTAATTTTTTAAAAATGATAATATTGGAAATAACACTGCTTATGAAACATTTAGATCTTTAAATTAATTATTTAATCCATGGATCAGGGCTAACATTGGTTTCAGAGCTAAGGAGGCCACAGATCACAACCAGTCATTTAAAAAAAAGCAAACACACAATTACTAATGGACCTTGGAAACTTCAATGTCAATAATACTGAGATCAGAAAATCATGATGGTGCCCACTGCTGAGCACTCCAAAGGGGTCACAGAAGGTGGTTCTGAAAAAAATGGGCAAAAATTGTGGAAATCACAGTTAAAATATTATCTAAAAAAACCTCTGGAACATCAAAACCATAAAAAAATGACCAGATTCTTGGTCCATCAGAGACTGGTAGAAGCCCCCTTGGTTATGATCCACAATTACCTTCAAATGTAGAATAAAATTCAACCTCCTGGTTCAACACTTACAAGGTGAACAAGAACACCAGAGAAGCAAGAATTCCTTATAGTAATTCAACTACATAAGATCAAAAAGGCATCCTTTGTTTACAGATCAACTCCAGAAAGCCAGAAGGGGCAGTACGGAGGATTAATGAAAAGGAGAATCACAGATAGGAAGGAGGAAAAGTGTAGTTACATTATGAATATTATAATTAATGTTATTTTAAAAAAATGTAATAATGAATGGTTGAATGGAAAGCCAATCTACTTGGCAAACTTTTACTCAAATAACAGTGTAAACTATCAAATGAAGTCTAATAACCTGTTACAGAATAAGGAAAAAGGATTTTTAAAAAATGAAATGTCATGAAGTTATTTCAAATAAAGTGGTGTTGTTATGTGCCATTGAGTCACCTGCAACTCATAGCGACCCTATGTACAACAGCCCTAAACTCTGCTCTGTCCTGTGCCAGTCTCACCATCTCTGACCCACCCCCACCCCAGTCACTGAATGACTGAATCAATCCACCTCATTGAGGGTCTTCCTCTCCTGCGCTGTCCCTCCACACTCCCAAGCATGGTATCTCTCTCCAAGGACTGGTCCCTCCTTGAAACATGTCCGAAGTATGTCAGATGAAGCCTCAGAATCCTTGCCTCCAAGGAACAGCCTGGTTTCACCCTATGAAATTGTTTGTTTTCTTAGTAGTCCATGGTCTATACAATGTTCTTCTCTAACACCACAGCTCAAAGACATCAAATCTCCTTCTGTCATTGCTACTTATCATCCAGCACTCTGATGAATAGCAAGTGATTGCAAAGATCATGGCCTGTAGACCTTAGTATCTTTAGTGACACCACTGCTCTTCAGTACTTTGGAGAGGTTCCTAACAGCAGACTTTCCCATCGCAATACGTCTTTTAATTTCCTGGCTGCTGGTGTCAAGAGTGTTGACTGTGGAGCCAAGCAAACTAAAGCTATTAACAATCTCAATCTCTTCATCATTCATCCTGATGCTGCCAATTGGCCCAGTGGTGAGAATCTTTGTCTTCTTGGTATTGAGCCTCAATCCATATTGAAGGCTGCAGTCCTTTACCTTCTGCAGCAAGCACTTTAGGTCCTCTTCAGTTTCAGCAAGCAGGGTTGTGTCATCTGCATAACGCAGATTATTGATGAATTTTCCACCAATCCTGATGCTACATTTCTCTTCATACAGCCCAGCCTCCTGGATAATTCGGTCTGCATACAGGGTGAAAAGGTATGGAGACAGGACACATCCCTGGTGGACACACTTCCCAATTTTGAACCATGCAGCGTTTCCTTGTTCTGTTGAAAATTGCCTCCTGGTCCAAGTATAGGTTTCTCATTAGCACAATCAAGTGTTCTGGGATGCTTTAGGAAGAATATTAAATGATCCAGGAAGTATTAAAAGAAGATGGAAGGAGTATACAGAGTCATTGTACTGAAATTAATTGGCAGACACAGAAGAATTTCATGAAATAACATATGAGCAAGAGTATGGTGATGAAGGAAGAAGTTCAAGCTGCTTTGAAAGAACTGGCAAAAAATAAGGCCCCAGGAATAGATGGTATACCAACTGACATATTTCAACTAACAGATGCTGTCCCAGATGTGCTCACCAAGCTATGCCAAGAAATCTGGAGGACAATCACCTGGCCAACTGACTGGAAGAGATCCATATTTGTTCCCATTCCAAAGAAAGGTGACCCAACAGAGTGTGGAAATTATTGAACAATATCAATGATACCACATGTAAGCAAGATTCTGCTTAAGATCATCAAAAAATGACTTGAACAGCACATCAACAGAGAACTGCCAGAAGTGCAGGCTGAGTTTAGAAGGGGTCGTGGTACTAGGGATATTGTAGCAAATGTTAGATGGATCTTGGCTGAAAGCAGGGAATACCAGAGGAATGTACATCTGTGTTTCAAATCAAGTAGTAGATTTATATAGTTCATATAAAAATAGAAATAAATCTCTGCTGGGTCTTAAAATTACTTCAGGAGTAATTATTCCAAATAAGGATAATATGGAGTAAAAATTAAATTATCACACTGGATACCATGAGTTCAGGTACTGTGGTGGTGCAAATTGATCACAATATTAATCCTTTGTGCTATTTATATGAAAGATTATCATATACATATATTTTGGTCCAGAATGCAAGTCTAGCAGTAAAAGCAATGATTAAATATTGAAAAAATCTAAGATTACATATTTCTAAGTTTTCTATTTTTTGTGCTTTTAGAACTCACTTACTGAATGATTATACAGTGTCATTGACTCTTAAATAACAGCTCGCTTAGGGTATTGATTCTCATGCTATCAAAAATCCATGTATAACTATGACTCCCTAAATAGTTAACCCCTAATAACTTGTTGCTGAATGGAAATCTTAATGGTTGTTGTTGTTATGTGCTGTCAACTGTGACTCATAGTGACCCTATGTACAACACCCCTAAACCCTGTTCTATCCTGGGCTAACCTTATTGTCTTTGACACACTTATCCCCATTACCCCACTGATGGAATCAATCCATCTCATCGAGGGTCTTCCCCTCCTGTGCTGTCCCTTAGTCCTCCCAAGCATGACGTCTCTCCCCAAGGACTGATCCTGCCTTGTAAGATGTCCAAAGTATGATAGACACAGCTTCAAAATCCTTGCCTCCAAGGAGTAGCCTGGTCTCACCCTCTCCAGGATGAACCTGTTTGTTCTCCTAGCAGTATTCAATACTCTTCTCCAGCATCAAAGCTCAAAGGCATCAACTCTCCTTCTATCATCCCCAATCATTACACAGTTCTCTGATGCCTCTTTTTCTTGTCTCTTCTAAATCCACCCTACACTTCAGGCAGTTCTCTGTTGGTGTGCTGTTCCAGTCATTTTCATATAATCTTCAGCAGAATCTTGCTTGCATGTGATATCAATGATACTGTTCAAAAATTTCCATGCTGTCAGATCACCTTTTTTTGGAATGGGAATATAGATCTCTTCCAGTCAGTAGGCCAGGTGCTTGTCCTCCAAATTTCTTGGCACCACTTAGTAGCACATCCAGGTCAGCATTTGTTTGTTGAAATATGTCAATCTGTATGCCATAAATTCCTGGGGCCTTGTTTTCAGAGCATCTTGAACTTTTTCCTTCATCATACATTATTTAATGAAATTCCTCTGCGTCCACCAATTCTGTTTGGTACAATGACTCTGTATACACTTTCCATCTTCTTTTAATGCTTCCTGGTTCATTTAACATTCTGCTCACAGCATCCTTAAG